ATTAATTTTAGGCCAAACAGGCCGCATCAATTGCTTTACCAAAATATGGTACCCAAAGGCACCACGTTCAAAAAACATTTTTTTACAAATTTCACTAAAGAATTGTGTGCAACCTATTAAGTTGCGTATGTTGGCCAATAAAATGCATTTCCTACATGACATTGCCTTATCGCCTACTCTACCGGTACTCTGGACTGGGTGGAAAACAAAAGTGCTTTGGCAAACCATTTTTTTGCGCAAACTTTAACAAAAATGATTGGGCTATTGATTGATTAATTTTAGGCCAAACAGGCCGCATCAATTGCTTTACCAAAATATGGTATCCAAAGCCACCACGTTCAAAAAACATTTTTTTACAAATTTCACTAAAGAATTGAGTGCAACCTATTAAGTTGCGTATGTTGGGCAATAAAATGCATTTCCTGCATGTCATTGCCTTATCACCTACTCTACCGGTACTCTGGACTGGGAGGAAAACAAAAGCTTTGGCAAACCATTTATTTTGCGCAAACTTTAACAAAAACGATTGGGCTATTTATTGATTAATTTTAGACCAAACAGGCCGCATCAATTGCTTTACCAAAATATGGTACCCAAAGCCACCACGTTCAAAAAACATTTTTTTACAAATTTCACTAAAGAATTGTGTGCAACCTATTAAGTTGCGTATGTTGGCCAATAAAATGCATTTCCTGCATGTCATTGCCTTATCGCCTACTCTACCGGTACTCTGGACTGGGAGGAAAGCAAAAGCTTTGGCAAACCATTTATTTTGCGCAAACTTTAACAAAAACGATTGGGCTATTTTTTGATTAATTTTAGGCCAAACAGGCGGCATCAATTGCTTTACCAAAATATGGTACCCAAAGGCACCACGTTCAAAAAACATTTTTTTACAAATTTCACTAAACAATTGTGTGCAACCTATTAAGTTGCGTATGTTGGCCAATAAAATGCATTTCCTACATGTCATTGCCTTATCACCTACTCTGCCGGTACTCTGGACTGGGAAGAAAGCAAAAGCTTTGGCAAACCATTTATTTTGCGCAAACTTTAACAAAAACGATTGGGCTATTTATTGATTAATTTTAGGCCAAACAGGCCGCATCAATTGCTTTACCAAAATATGGTACCCAAAGGTACCACGTTCAAAAAACATTTTTTTACAAATTTCACTAAAGAATTGAGTGCAACCTATTAAGTTGCGTATGTTGGCCAATAAAATGCATTTCCTGCATGTCATTGCCTTATCGCCTACTCTGCCGGTACTCTGGACTGGGAGGAAAACAAAAGCTTTGGCAAACCATTTATTTTGCGCAAACTTTAACAAAAACGATTGGGCTATTTATTGATTAATTTTAGGCCAAACAGGCCGCATCAATTGCTTTACCAAAATATGGTACCCAAAGCCACCACGTTCAAAAAACATTTTTTTACAAATTTCACTAAAGAATTGTGTGCAACCTATTAAGTTGCGTATGTTGGCCAATAAAATGCATTTCCTACATGTCATTGCCTTATCGCCTACTCTACCGGTACTCTGGACTGGGAGGAAAGCAAAAGCTTTGGCAAACCATTTATTTTGCGCAAACTTTAACAAAAACGATTGGGCTATTTTTTGATTAATTTTAGGCCAAACAGGCGGCATCAATTGCTTTACCAAAATATGGTACCCAAAGGCACCACGTTCAAAAAACATTTTTTTACAAATTTCACTAAACAATTGTGTGCAACCTATTAAGTTGCGTATGTTGGCCAATAAAATGCATTTCCTGCATGACATTGCCTTATCACCTACTCTACCGGTACTCTGGACTGGGAGGAAAACAAAAGTGCTTTGGCAAACCATTTATTTTGCGCAAACTTTAACAAAAACGATTGGGCTATTTATTGATTAATTTTAGGCCAAACAGGCCGCATCAATTGCTTTACCAAAATATGGTACCCAAAGCCACCACGTTCAAAAAACATTTTTTTACAAATTTCACTAAAGAATTGTGTGCAACCTATTAAGTTGCGTATGTTGGCCAATAAAATGCATTTCCTGCATGACATTGCCTTATCGCCTACTCTACCGGTACTCTGGACTGGGAGGAAAACAAAAGTGCTTTGGCAAACCATTTATTTGCGCAAACTTTAACAAAAATGATTGGGCTATTTATTGATTAATTTTAGGCCAAACAGGCCGCATCAATTGCTTTACCAAAATATGGTACCCAAAGCCACCACGTTCAAAAAACATTTTTTTACAAATTTCACTAAAGAATTGTGTGCAACCTATTAAGTTGCGTATGTTGGCCAATAAAATGCATTTCCTGCATGACATTGCCTTATCGCCTACTCTACCGGTACTCTGGACTGGGAGGAAAACAAGTGCTTTGGCAAACCATTTATTTTGCGCAAACTTTAACAAAAACGATTGGGCTATTTATTGATTAATTTTAGGCCAAACAGGCCGCATCAATTGCTTTACCAAAATATGGTACACAAAGCCCCCACGTTCAAAAAACATTTTTTTACAAATTTCACTAAAGAATTGTGTGCAACCTATTAAGTTGCGTATGTTGGCCAATAAAATGCATTTCCTGCATGACATTGCCTTATCGCCTACTCTACCGGTACTCTGGACTGGGTGGAAAACAAAAGTGCTTTGGCAAACCATTTATTTTGCGCAAACTTTAACAAAAATGATTGGGCTATTTATTGATTAATTTTAGGCCAAACAGGCCGCATCAATTGCTTTACCAAAATATGGTACCCAAAGCCCCCACGTTCAAAAAACATTTTTTTACAAATGTCACTAAAGAATTGTGTTGCAACCTATTAAGTTGCGTATGTTGACCAATAAATGCATTGCCAGCATAACACTGTTTAGCCCCTACACCACCTGTTAGGACCATTACACTGGAAGGGGAACAAAATTGCTTTGGTGAACCATTTATTTTGCGTAAACCTTAATAAAGATGATCGGCCCATTTATTAATTAATTTTAAGTGAAACAGGTCGCATCAATTGCTTTTCCAAAATAGGATACCCAAAAACAATTGTTAATTGCAACTTTTAGAGACACTACACGTTGAGCCTTTAAAATCGTTTCGGGTGCATTAAGGATTAAATTATAGACTATTAGTTTCGTAATATACTGTTTTTGACATCAATTCTATATAAAGTGCATCAACAACCGCATCTTTAGTAAAACTTTCTTTTGAATATAATATCGTATGCTAACGTTTTTAAAAATTACGTCTTATTGGTTTGAGATTTTCAAGTTTTTCAGGCAGGTTATGGATAACCACCGAAATTTTACAAATAAAACATTTTTCGGTATGGTGATTACTTATTGAAAAAATGCAAATTTAAAACAAATTATAAATAGTTTAACATATCAATTCAAAATTTCTCAAAAACTAAGAGACTCGCCAAAAACTGTGATTGACTTTTGAACATGGGTAGAACTTGTTACCCTCTCCTTTTTTTTATGCGAGCACTAATTTCATACAATAGGCACTTTGCTTTATTGGAAATGAAAACACTAGTTTAGGGTAATTTACTATGAATTTAAAAAATCCTTAAATGTTAAACTGCAATGTCTCGTTTTGAAAATCAAAACGGCACAGAAGGAAGTAGAAAACCATTCGAATTATTTATTTACGTAATCATCTTAGTACCGTATAAAAAGAATACAGAATATGCAGGTCAGGAAAAGAAAAACTAAATAATTGCATGTCAGATGATAACGACCTTAAAAACGCAAGTTCAGTAATTTTAATACGTAATATAACTGACCTGATTAATATTTTAGACTTGGCAACGTGGTCGGGACTCGCATGTACGCTGAGAGTGCCAATTATATACAGCGGGCCTCGCATGTTCAATGGATATACCACAGGGCCTCGTATGTACATTGCACATTTGTATATCTGAATTTTCTAAAAACATTACCCCTCAAGGGCGGATGTTGTTAAGTATCATTAGGACACTCCAAAAAACCAAAATTTATAATTTTACAAGTGGTCTTTATGGCGGGCCTCGGGTGGCCTGTTCGATATATCGGGCCTCGCTTTTATAGATACTTACGTATATATATAGATTGTGGAGTGATATTACGTCTTCAGTTCAGAGTGACGAAATATACGATTATTTCGAGGTAAAGAAGCAGTTAAGGAGATAAAGCGTTTAAAGATAGATGATGTTTTTCTCTATCAGTGGTACATCGATCAGGGCGTCTACTGCTACATTAGGTACCTGAATTCGAAACCTGCAGCATTTGCGCTAATATCAAGAATGAACTTCGATCCTCTAGATATTCATAAAAATCCTAAGATGCTGAATTACGTCTATACTTTACCGGAGTATCGAAGAAGAGGATATGCCACCGAACTTGTGACTCACATCATTGGCGTTACTGAATTTTCAGCATTTTGTTCCAACGAGGAGTCCGAAAAATTGTTTGAAAAATGCAATTGCACAAATCACGGTATAGTAAATAACGCCGTAATGTTTAGATACCCTTAATAAAACACGTTTTGCATAAATTGTTTTTATTCCTAATATACCTATAAATAGATTAATGACCTATAAATAGAATTTGCTTATACCAACCTATATAACTTTCGCAACTCCCTATACATTTATTATCGAATTTATCGTAACGTTGAGTGGTATCATTGAATAAAAACACTATTTTTATTCAATGGTGGTATCTAGGAGGAGTTCGCTATATATGCGATACATTATTCAGATTTTTCCCATTCCAATTCGATCATTCGTTGAGATCAGTCGTATTGTATCTGTTGGTGCGAATTTATTAGTCGTATTTTATCTGTTAGTGTGTATTTTCTTAAACGTATTATATCTATAGGTGAGTTTTGTTATTAATATTGCTTTTATTATTTAGTATTTTGGGCTTTTAGACGTGCAAGATGTTTACCGATTTAGTAAAACAGATTGCAAGTATTTTAAGTGTGCTTAGAACTAAGTATAGTGGCAAAACCGTGAGGCAAGGGATAATTAAGTGTGATAAGGCTAGACGTAGAATTCAAGATTCGATGCGTAGGTCATTATCCATAGGTGAAAGGCAACATCTTGAGGCTTGTTTACGTAATATTAAATCGATGCGTAAACACTTTAAATTAGAACAAAGGAGAGGCTTGGGTATATCTTTGAATAAAGGAACCTCCACTTCGGCTTTTAGTAATAGAAAAGAAACCGCAAAAGATCGCGTGCATTGGGATGACTCCATTTCGGCTTTTAGCAATAGAATACGAACTGGAGTTATCACTAATCTTAAACATAAAGACCCCGGCAACTTCTTAATGGATTGTAAGACCATCTTCAAAAGCCGAATTCATAACGCGTTGAAGCAAGATGAGGCTGTGAAAGTAAATGCGATTTTTTGCGGGGAATTTGCGATTACTCAAGGTGAAAAGATGCTTAATGAGTATAAGTACTTTACAACATCAAATTTAATGTATGTAATTTTTCAGCTCAAGGTGCGGCCATCATCTTTGGCCCATTGCAGACGGCCTATGGTAAATACGCCACATATCTATCACACGTTTAACCATATATTTGTAGAACGAGAACTCCGAACATATCTCAAACAAAAATATGGATCTGTAAGTACTTTTCATGCATCATACCGTATTTTAATTAGCTCTTATTTAGGAAAATGTTGCTATTTTACGGGGTCGGGGGGTAATCCCTGACTCCGTAAAGATAGAGGAAGGTAGCTTCCTGGGGCGGAGGTTCCAGGTCTTTAAGGACCTGGAACTACAAAACACGTACTGGGTGTTTTATGTAAGTGTTATCGTTTCAATTATAATGTTTACTTCAATGAATTTTTTTTTCCAGAACTAATAAACCCGCATTAAATTTTGTTTTGTTTTACTTATTCACTCCATTCTGACTAAGCCCTTACCTAAAATAATAAGATGTAGTGATTAGGGTGTTATCATTTCTTCCGTAAAACAAGTGTTATAGATATTAAATTAAGAAGCTCACCTTATAATCAATATTATCGTTATATAAATGTAGATCCGAGAAAAATTGATTTAACTGAATACCAAACAAATTGATGTAATACATAATATTTCACAATGTTATCGCATTTATTTATCACAACTGTATTATTCTCTACTCCTGATCAATAAATGTGAAGTATAGATATTAATAATAATAATAAATCCGCACGCCGTTTAACCAATAACCATGATGATGAAGTCAATCCTCCATTGGAGTTTGATATCGTCTAAAAAAGATATCAATGTAGGCTTTTATTACAAAATAATTTTGATACTTACGGTCCAACTCTGATGTAGACTATGTTTTCTGCTGTCAGCTTATTACTTATAAACGCCCATATAAAATAATCGCTGAATAAATACAATAAAATGTCCCGCAAATTATGCGCGCAAGGACACGTATCCCTAAGAAAAGTAAATTATAAGCAACTAAAAATTGAAAAAAGGCTTACCTGAGGTATATAAGAAGGCGCCTGTCTAAGTAGGTGTATACCCACATGCACTTTTTGAAATCGGATTGCGGATGCACGCCGTTTTTATGGGAGATTTTCGAACTTTACGCATTCATACACAATAAAACCCGTATATAGGTGTCGATGTGGAAATGAAATGAGATAAAGTACCATATCAAATTCGCGAGCACGCGCTGCTATAAATAAACACTATCGCAAGATTGAAACTTTCCATACCAATTATTAGAATAATGACATCTGCGAACTCTGTTCTCTTATTGCTTTAATGACATCTGCGAACTCTGTTCTCTTATTGCTTTCGCAACTTAATAGTTATTATTTTAGATCGAGAAATGTGCAATCATTTTTGCGAGGAGTCGAGGTAAACTATACGTTTTAACCGTATATTTGTAGAACAAGAAACTACTATTATTTTCGGCGGGATAAACCCAGCGAGGTATAAAACCACCATGTATTACGTTTTAATTATATATACCTATGTGTAGAACGGAGCGGGGGATTTCCAATTATGAATAACAATGCTGTCATTAAAATGGGCGTTGCTGACGTCGAGGCTCTCTTCGACGCAAATTTTATGTAAGTAGAGTAAGCGCTTTAATTGTAATAATAAACTTCAAATCACTATTTCCGCTGTAAATAAAAACACCCTACATTTTGTTTGTTGTTTTTTCCCTGCCCACTCCTGTTCTGGTTATAGGGAACCTACCTCCGATATGGAATTATAGGTAAGAATGAGGGTCCTCGCACCTGTCTCCTGAAATTACAATTTCCTACCCTAGTCGCATCAATCTAATAGAGGGAGTCGGATGAAAATATACCTCTATATGCATTACGACGCCAATAGATGGCGCCTCCGTATCAAATCGCTATTTCAGCTCTAAATAAAAACGCTCTACATTTTGTTTTTGTTGTTTTATTTCCCTCCCCGCCCCTGTTCTGGTTGTAGGTTAGAATGGGGCCCCCTTGTGTATGTCTCTCAAATGGGGGAGCTACCTCCGAGATGGAATGATAGGTTAGAATTCTCCTCCCTTGCATCTCTCTCCTGAACCACTGGATAGTTCACATGTTTGCTATTGTACAAATGTATACACGGCCGACTTTATTCGTAAATTTCTAACGCAAGAAGTCAAAATTGCAGTTTCCTATACGTTAGATGCGTATCATTTTGACGCCACCAAATAGCCCCTAGCCCCTATCGGGTTTTTTCCCTGCCCACTCCTGTTCTAGTTATAGGGAACCTACCTCCGAGATGGAATTATAGGTTAGAATGAGGGTCCTCGCACCTGTCTCCTGAAATTACAATTTCCTACCCTATACCTATATGTCACATCAATCTAATAGAGGGAGTCGGTTGAAAATATACCTCTATATGCATTACGACGCCAATAGATGGCACCTCCGTACCATTTAATATATCTATGATTTAATAATATTTAGAGGTTCGTTATAAATACAACTATCGAAGCATTATATCATACAAGTCTAGTTAGCCTAGTGGTTATGCTATAGGACTTGTAATCCGATGGTTGGCGGTTCGAATCCGTTCCATTTAAAAAAATTTTCAGGAGGTTCGATATAAATACAACTATCCAAGCATTATATCATACAAGTCTAGTTAGCCTAGTGGTTATGCTATCCCAATGGTTGGCGGTTCGAATCCGTTCCATTTAACAAATTAACAAATTTTTCAGGGTACGAAGGGGTCGAAGTTTGAGGATTCCAAGATGGCGTCCAAGAACTTGAGGATTCCAAGAACTTGAGGATTCCAAGAACTTGAGGATTCCAAGAACTTGAGGATTCCAAGAACTTGAGGATTCCAAGAACTTGAGGATTCCAAGATGGCGTCCAAATGACGCCTGCGCAGACGCCTGCGCAAAGGGGCGGGGCGCGCATGCGCACATCCAAACTGCTCCAAAAACACCCAAATGAACCTTAGAATTCCTTATGGGAAATTACATGTAATTTCGACCAAAAGTGGGCTCGAACCCGTGCAGCTCCTTTACTCTGATCAGATTATAAACCAATTACAATAAAATAATAATATACGAAATTGGGAATATCTTTATAAATTGTCAAAGCAATTCACCGTATTGTTACATCTTGCGCCCAACGTGCGACAGTTTATATTAAGAAATTCTCAAGCATCATTATAAAAGGAGAAAATACCAATGGATCGTAAGCCGAAAAATCTATCTGATGAAGATGGAAATGAATACAATTTAAGAAGCAAGATCAGACAAGGTGCGATTCCAAAATATTCAAATCATGCAAATCAAATAACAGCCAATTCAAAAAGCCAACTTGAGGAAGAAGAAATAAGGGAAACAACGCGGAGTAGTATAAGTAGAAGAGAGCTGGATTTGCAAGTTCCATTAAATTTTCGGAGAAGCGATCATTTATGGAATGAGATTTGATAGCCATTAGGCAGTTGTAATTTGATTTTAATTTAGATTGTGCTGGTATCAGGTTGTGATCAGATTATAAACCAATTACAATAAAATTGATCGAAATTGAGAATGTCAAAGCAATTCACCGTATTGTTACACCCTGGAAATTGCTTCCACTTATGGACATTATAAAGCAAAATTGTTTATCCAACTTTCATTCAGTTCAAAATTTGTCATACGATGAATCTATGGTAAAATACTATGGTCGCGACGGATGTAAACAATTCACCCGTGGTAAACCAATTGGGTTCGGATACAAAGTGTGGTTTGCTTTGCTTCTTTTCATTCTAAATAAACCGATACAACGAAATATCGAAGGATCCTCAGTATTACAATCACTTTTAACGACAATTTATTTTCATCTTACAAAATACATTTTATAGTTAACAAAAATGCATCAAATTCATGTCTTGGGCATTGAGATAATGCTCTTGGTTTTTTTCCAAACGATCCTGGTGCATAAATAAATAACGATTTTGACATTTTTTTATCAAAATCCACGTGGTCGCCAAAAATGCATCAAATTCATGTCTTGGGCATTGAGATAATGCCCCTAGTCTTTTTCCCAGCGATCTTGGTGCATAAATAACGATGTTGACATGTTTTGATCAAAATCCATGTGGTCGCCAAAAATAGATCAATTCATGTTTTGGAGATAGAAATAATGCTCTTGGTTTTTTTCTCAACCATCTTGGTGCATAAATAACCATTTTGACATATTTTGATCAAAATCCATGTGGCCTCAGAAAAATAATTTAACATTTTTGAATCACGCACATGCGGTTATGAAACGTGCACGTTATCAACTCTTTCAGCATCAAGATAATGCGTTTGAAAGCTTTTACAACTCTAAATTCATGTGTACAGAATAATTTTGGGTACATTTTGCTCTAAAACTTTTGACCTAGACCACAGAGAGAAGAGTTATATTGAATTGTTACACATCTAAGAGTCATAGAGAATAATCTAGCGAAAGTCCGAACTCGATATATGTATGACCTAGGGAATGAAATATGTTGATTTCTATTATATTGAGTTCGCAGTTTTTCATGTTCCCGATTCACTCGAAGTCCTATAACTTTTGTTCCTGTTGAACCAGCTTCCTGAAAATCAATAGCGTCCGTCCTTAATGTCCAACGTACCCGTACACCAAATTTCAACACAATCGGTCACTTTTAAAAAGCGTTAGAGCACACACGGACGGACGGACGGACGACAATACAAAACTACAAAGGATCTGAGGATCGTTAATAATATGTAATAACTTTGATGTATAACAACAATAAATATTTGACTTGAAAATGATAAAAAAAGGATTTGAATCATTTTACAGGTCGAGAAGGCATCGAGAAACATCTGTTAAATAATGTAGGTATTTTTAAAACCGATTTTCCCTCTCAGGAATTTTGTAAATAGGAACTAGTTTTTAAGTGAAAGTGACATTCTTGCCATTTCGGCTGATTCATTCTTAGTCATACAGACCACTAAGGCACATGTATAAATAAAGTTGAAGTTATTTATTATTGCATTTAATCATTTCTACAATCACACAACAAAATCAGATATCTCCACATTGGTAGCCATATACCTACCTTTAATTACGGTGTTGCTCTCAATAAACCAAATTTACTGTTCAGTTATACAAATGAGGACATTGGACTATTTAAACTACCAGCAAGGGGCATTTACACTAACTGAAACGGAAACACTAGTAAGAAGTAAGAATATACAAATTAATGTCATTTGTTTGATTATCTTTCATTTTTAATATGTTCATTTTTAATGTACTGAATTTCGAAAATAGCCAAGAGCATGCAAAATGGATATAGAACACGATAATACTGGGGTGATGATATGTCTATTCTCTATATTGCCATTGCAATCTGCACGTCATGCAAATCGAATGAGAATATCGGTAGTTTCTTTAGGTTAGCGTTTTGTCAAGCGTTTTGTTTTTTTTCTGAAAATAGTGGAATCTATTTTTTAAAATATATGCATTATCATAATAGATGGAAATGATATCTTTAAATATTGACGTTTTTGGTAGTCAGCTTTTGATTTTTCTATTACAAGTGACTTTAAACGACACGTTGGTAATAAATAACGTAAGTGAGTGAAATACCTTCTTTCACAATAGAATCGGTGAGTTCGAAAACCATACATATCCAAAAACGTCATTTTGAGAAAATCAAGAAAAAGCCCTCAACTGCTAAACTAATTAATTTAGACAATTAGCATACACAGAAGAGTTTTAGATCTGGTGATTTGGGATTTATTTTTGCAATAATATTTCAGAGAAACAAAATGGCGGACCACTTACAGGTAAAAAAAGGCGCCGGACTTGTACGGTTTTCGAACTGAACGACAAAAATATGTTGGAAATTGAGAAATTTATTTGATAATTTTACAGAAATAGAAAAAAATAAACAGTTATTTTGATTAACATAATATCTAATCGTCGTTATCAGCAGTTGTAGTTGGCCAGGATGTTACATGGTAGTAAAATTCCAAAGTTTCACCGGTGATATATGACATAACCTTTTTAATGTCAGCGATTTTCTTTTCATTGATAGGAACTGCTTCTCTATACGCGACACTATTGGGTAGAGGGGGACTGTTCTTATGTTGCTTTAGTAATTTAAAAGTGTGTGACTTCAAACCACCTATAAACTCCCATGTTGTCACATATTCGGGAGTAGAACTTTCATAGAGGAACTGCCTGTAGTTCGACACAAATTACGGTTCTGCCCCCCACATCCATTGGAAAACAAGTGCAGCTCAGTTATTTCAGGTGGTATGACATTCATTATGTAGTGATAAAGGAATGTACATACCTCGTTAGGCCCTTTAAGAGCCTGTCCCTCATGGTAGGTGTAAAAATGTCCAGTATTTTCCTTAAAATTGTGTATTTGAAATGCGTATACCCAAAGCTGTCTAAAATAAAAAATTTCCTGAACAGGAATATGTGGAAGAGGCATATTTTGCATATAGTCAAAAGATAGGCCCATTACTTCTGGTCGTTCCTTACACCTCTTTCATTTTATTATAAAACTTTTTCGCGCGCCGTTTATGGACCATGAGTTCCGCGGCAGCTACTCTCTTTGCATTGTCGTTAAGATTACTGTCTTTAAGCTTGGCCCCAAGCCTTTCACACTCCGAACAGACATCAACTTGCGGCCTTCCAAACCTGAGATTGTAATTTTCATTATAATATGTTAGGTAAAATTCGTATTTCACACAATTCTGCAATTCTGGATATTTCACAAGAAAAAGATTGTGCATTTTTTTACATTTAAAGATGCATCTAAATATCGAATGTCTTTAGAAGAGTAGTGGGAAACTTTTACCGGAAACGACTCTATGTGCTCTTTAATTTTTGCAATCCACTCGTCACATATTGCACGGGGTCTATTGTTATGCCGGCCCCTTAAATCCTTTGGAGATTTTCCTGCTAGAAGTAGGTTGTTTAATCGCTGAACTTGCCAATGTGATACGGCATGAAGACTCATAAATGCCTGCTTGCAAACGGAAATTCGATTTGATTGATTCATAACAAAGTATGAAAAATTAGATTTTCTTTCTTCCTTAGGTGAAGTACCTCTTACTCTGTGTCTCTGAATGGGATTTGCTACCATACGTCCTTGCAAGTATGTGTCTTGTTCGTTTTTTGGCTTACCGTCGTGTAACTTAACCATTATAGCGTTTTTTTCATCTTCAGTGAACTGCTGCATACATTTTTTTTTTGCAGCTTAGAAAATATTAAACTTATTTTAATGTTTAAGCAAAAATTGTAACTTACCTGCATGGAGGTCCTACAGTCTTTGCTTCAACATGTTTTCCTTTGCTAGAAACATACGCCTGACCTTGCAAGCGTGCTATTTTTATTTTGTTGTGTTTCCAACCATCCACATTCCTTTTTCTTTTCCTGCTACCACTACTATGATTATCTGCTCCTTCACTATCACTGGATGACATTTTTACGTATTTAAAACTGTTAGAAGATGACTAAAACGGCATAAATACACACACGAGACTAACGCTGTGCTTATAAACAAACATTTGCGAATTGTGTTTGGATTGAGATGAAAAACAGTACAAGTCAGGGACATGTACGGTTTTTACACTCATTACTTTGGCGCAATGTGCCATACACCGTAAACGGTAAAGTAAATCGTACGGTTTTTAAACGCAATCAATGGGGGGCACCTTCTAAAACAAAATGGCTATCTTACTTTAAAATGTCAAATTTTGGACTTGTGAGGTTTTCGAACTCACCGATTCTCACTAAGGCAGCGCGTCGCAGTGCGGCGTGGGATAATGTTGCTTACAATTATATGCAAACTATAAGGTCGCGCCGTTCTCATTTAAACAGCGCGGCGCCGCGCTTCACGAAGCAGCAACATCGGAATTGCTTTGCGAGCATTGCAAACGCGCTGCGCTGCTTGCTGACGCACAGATGTGACTCACAAAGCGTGTAGGAACTTGCAGAAATTGTCATTTAGTACTTCGAAATGGACTGTGACACAATTGAAAAATTAATTTCACTGGTCAATGAGTATCCTGAATTATACGATATGAGTAATAAAAATTACAGTAACCAAATCAGACGAGACAACATATGGTCAGAGATTGGAAGAAAAATTAATAAAAACGGTGAGTACCTGTACCTAATTTAAAAAATAAAACATGTCAAGCTAAACATACGCATGGTTTTATTGGCAAAAAATGTGATAAATGTATAAAAGCAATTGTTTACAATATTCCTGCGTTAACAGTGTCCATTTGCCAAGGAACGGTACCTGCAGCCGACGTAAAATATTTTGTAAAATCTTCTCTTACTTCTATTGCATCAGTGGAAGATTTACCACCAATGTGAGGTAAATTTATAAAAATTGGACGTTCCTTTTCGGAGTTCTCTTCATCTAAAGCATTCAGAAAAACGTTGTCGCTTCGAAGAAAGTTATGGAGACATAAACTAGATAAAACAATTTTATCTACATTATTTGGATGAACTTGTATTTTATTCAAAAAAACTCGGAACTTTTGACAAAGAATGCCAAAAGCATTTTCTGACACTCTGCGCGCTCTAGAGAGCCGGTAATTGAATATCTTTTTGTCTTCAGAAAGTCCCCGACCTGGGTAAGGGCGCATTAGATAAGTTTTGCTAGGAAAGGCTTCATCTCCTACAATCACGAACGGTAACGGTTTTCCATTTTCTGTTATTGGCCGATCTTCGGGTATTCCAAACGTGTTATTTTGAAGGGCTTTTCCCATTCTAGAGTTATTAAATAATCCTCCATCACTATTTTTGCCATATCCTCCGACATCAACAGCAATAAATCTGTATTCAGGATCTACCATAGCTAATAATACTATAGAAAATGTTTTCTTGTAATTGAAAGACAAGGATCCACTTCCGGCAGGTGCTTGTATAGTGATGTGCTTTCCATCTATTGCAGCGACACAATTAGGGAAATTCCAAATGCTTTCAAATTTTTCAGCACAACTTATAAGGATGCCTTTCGTTGGCTGTGGCATAACAATATCTGACAGAGTTTCCCAAATAACGTTGCTAGTATCGGTTACAATCTTCTGTACAGTAGAGTGTCCTAATCTAAAGTTGAACGATAATGTTTGAAAATCTGCTCCGGTTGCTAAGAATCTAAAAAGAAATTGCAATAAAATTGATTGAAAATGTAATTATTTAAGGTGATGTGTGCAAACAACGGTGGAAAACATTAAGGGATGGGTTTCAACGAGCTGCAAGAAGCCAAAAAACAAAAAATGGACAGGCTGCAAAACCGACTAAAAAATGGAAATATTGGGACATATTGTCATTTCTTTTGCCGCATATCAAAGGAAGAGAGTCTCATAACAGCAAATTTTTGTTTTTTAAAAATTTTTTTAGAACTCAGTCCAATATCAACCGCGTAGATGGCGACGAGGAAGAAGAATCGGAAGAAGATGGTAATGAAACCAGAAGCGAAGTGGATGAAAACCAGATTGAAGATGATGGAGAAGACGTTCCGAGTCCAAGAGACGATGTAATGAGTCCCACTTCTTATTCACAACCGAATACTCCACAATCTAATGCGTCAAGTGTCAAAAGTGTATCGACAGTTGCTAAAAGCAAAAAGCCTAACTGCAAGAAAGTAGATAGATTGCCTGAAATACTAAAAGAATATATCAACGACAAGAAACGAAGTCGCTTAGAGAAATCGACGGCTCGGGCAGACGCAAAAGATAATTCGATTTTAGATTTTTTCATAAATATGGGCAAAACGGTTGCAACCTTTCCTCCTCTAGAGCAAGCTTCAAACAAAAGGCAGGTGTTTCAAATTGTAAATTCGTATGAATTACAGCTATTGGGTGGCACAACACCAACACAAAGTCTTTTTTACATGCAAAACCAACCATCCACTTCCTTTCACCCACCCAGTTCATATTTCCACAACCAACAACCCCAGTCTGCTTCTACTTGCTATGAAAAGTCTGGGTCTCATGCACAAACGTTAACAAATCAGAACATCGTCCAAGCCCAACAACACCCTTCACCTGCACCAACAGAGCAGTCATCCTCATCCATTCACCCACTAAGTTCATATGTCCACAACCCACAATCCCAAGCTGCTTCTGCTTACTATGAAAAGTCTGGGTCTCATACACAAACATTAACAACTCAACAGTTTCCACCTGCAGCAGCGACAGAGCAGTCATTCCCATTCCAGTCGGGCTCGAAATATGTCATGGACCCAATACTTTCGTTTTCGTTTATCTAATTGGTGTTGGTGCCAAACAACAGTCACGAAGATTTCGTCTGATGAACTGGATGATGTGTCCTCTGCCGTGCACATTTTCACAAGGAAGACATAGAACTGCGAGTATTTTGATGCTCAAGTGTGTATACCTACATTAAAATGCTGCATCGCGCTGCTCTGCTTCGTGCTGTGACGCGCTGCCTTAGTGAGAATCGACCTTAACCCATTAAAATATTTTGTTTGTTTGGTAGAAAAATTCGTTTTTTTTTAAGTAACAATAATTCCTTTGTTAGTCTGCTCATGTCTAAATTAATGATACAATGTAATGTCCAGAATACACATATCGACCAGCAGGAAAAGTTATCGTCAATCGTCATGATTGGCACTAATGACTTGAGACGAGTAAGTACCATAGGTGTGTAATTATGGATTGTAGTGTTTTAAAATTTTTTCGGTTTTAGAACAAAAATTATGCCATGAACTGCGATGCTGCGCCTGATTGCGACATTGAAGAAATCACAACCTATTGAACAAATCGAAATTGCACGTTGCCGTCGATACCAAACGTCACACAGAATCAAGTAGCAAACATGAAACAATTTAATAAATTTATTCGCAATAAAACTGATAGTAAGTATAATTAATATTGGATATGAAGTGATACCAATTTTTTTTATTTCCAGGCAAGCACGCTGCTTCTGTGTGAAGTGGAGGCAAAATGAAACAAGTAAAAGGTTTTCGCCCTAAGGCAAGTAACTTCAGCGCATTTTCCATGAATGATCAGTACTTCCCAAAAGGCTATAGCTATGTGCGCTGTGATTTTCTTTACTAAACGCATATATGGTTAAAATTTCAAAGAAATATCTCCATAAACAAGAAAGTTGCCATTGCGCAGTCTGCACATGCGCACAACTGATTTTTACTATATGCGATATATTTGCCTTTACGGTTCAGAGGTGTAGAACGAGTACGTGTGACGGACGGACGACAAAGTGCAGCCAATAGCGATTTTTCACTTTGAGGAAAATACGCTAAAAACCAATTTGTGAGAAACCACAATTAAATTGTGTCCCAAATGTTTTACATAATTGCTATTTTTAGAAAATAAAATTAAAAATTGTATGTTCATTTATGTTTTTCGATGCCAGGAAGTCCTTTGTGTCGCCTTTATTGCCTTATATTCAAATAATACTATAACATGAGCATCAATTTATATTGCAATTAAAATTTGTGAATGTTGGTATTTTCGCCATATCTCTGCTTAGAAAACAGATATCAAAATGCGGTTTTCACTGATATTCTTGTGTTTGATTTTTTTCTTGACGTCGCCTGTAGATCCAATTAAATGTTGACTAAGTAGGTACTGATTCTGCTGTCTGACAAATACTTCTGAATTACGGAAGCTCGTTCGTTTTTTTCAGAAATTAATTCTCCCTTTTTTCTATGTTTCAGGGGCCCAAATCCGGTACGACAAAAAAACTAAAATTTTGTGAAATATTAAAAGTTTGAAATAAAAATCGAAAAACTTGGTTTAATGACCTTTTTTCTAAAAAACTTAATCCTCTAGAAATTTCCAATAGCGTTAAGTTTCCAATTGGTTTTGATTAAAATTTCGTAAAACGCAATTAAATAAATTCCAAATCAATCGCTTAGATTATGTTTATCCGCACAAAGCGTACGAATACGAATGCGTATGAGCATTTTTGATAGCAAACATTGACCAAATACAGCTGGAGGGATGATTATGGGCGACAACGAGAAAAATGGTATAGCATTTTTGTGAATAAATTCGTAGTTTGGAGTTGAAAGTTTGGATCGTCACGGAACATCCCCAAAATTTGCATTTTTAGATTTTTTTACTTCAATTTTACTCTAATGGGAAACTATATGACAATATCCGCTAAATCACCCTGTATAACGATCATAAAAAGTGCCATCTAGCAGCTACGTACAACCCTCATTTGATAATGTACGCACACGGCACATTCTTGAAACATCTGCTTTATTGATGTTTACAATATTCATGAAACAGAAAGCAAAACCACATTTAACCCTCTTTCTTCCCCCTTATTCTGTAAGAAAGTTTGATAGATTGTGGTTTTATACTGTTTCAGTCGCCCCCAGGCGGTGATTTTATGAAACTAAAAATAATTTCCTGCATTTTCTCTTAGATACGTTGCTATAAACATTGTTTAACCGAAAACACTTTTTGTTTCCGAGATGCAGCTACCACCTCTCATTCTTATTTGGTCACCCGGTACATTTAATAATAATACGCTTTTATTCCCCTTAAGTTTGTATAAATCACAATAGAAAAATATATTTAAAAAAAAAAACTAACCTCGGAGAAAGAGACTACATTCAGCGCACAAAACACTGTTCTTCCACATTTGTGTGTTCCTGGATTTTTCCATGTTTGGTATATGAGATTTGTTACTATTGAGTGTATAAGGTTAATTTCAAAACTATTTTTTGGTAGATGGAGTAAAATAATTACGGAAAACTATGCTATCTTAAATGGTAATAATGTCATTATTAGAAGCTTGCCTGAGAATCCCATTGAAGCCAATCAATTTAATATAGAATGTATTTAATTAAGGGCAAAATAAGTATAGGTTCATCCTAATGTAAACGATTGGTTGCTTTCCGATATCGAATTGAGATTTTATATATGGGCGTTTGTGACGCTTTACACGCAGTATACTTAGTACACAAACCTAAAACTTAATTGAAAATCAAATAAATAGAACTCACCAAAAAATCACCGCAATCTAGTTACATAGACGCCATTCTAAGGGCACTTCACGAAATAAATTACTTAGCGTGATTTTTTAATAACTGCGAATTGGTTTTTCTTAATTAATCACTAACTACCAATCGATGAAAAAATATTTCTGATTGACGGCCGTAAAACTACTAACTAACACAAATTGTAATTTACACATTATTGACCTAGATATTCGCACTGTTGGGAATCTTAGCAGTGACTGCCCACTAATATAAAAATAGATTCAACCTATTTCTAGGATACTCCCAATCATTAAGCGAGGGCGTTAGATAATTACAAACTTGTAGGAATCCATTGAATTGTTTTCATTTCAAGAGCGATTTAGAAAATGTGAACTTGAGGAAATACATGTTTTAATTAGTTTTCGTGGAAATTGCGAGCGTGAAAACATAAAGTACTTGTACTACAAGTAATTTAACTCTAACTTCTACTTTATGTTTTATGAATTTTAACTAGGTAACGGAACGATTTGCAATTTTACTACAATTGATACTACATAAAATGACGAATCGTTTATAGTGAAGTTAATAGAGCCTGACTGGCGGCAAAATTAAGAATTGATTTTTGCAAATGTAACCTTTTGCTTTATTTGGAATATCCAAAGTTTACTGTGTGAGAATGGAAAACTACATTTACGTTAATATAAAATTAGTTCTGTGCTGTTGTAAAAAAGAACATTGGTGAGGCATGTAAGCACTTTTAAACCCTTCAAAATTATTAGTGTTGATCTGACAACAACTTTGTATTGCGTACTTACCCAAGGATGCTATATACAGGGTCCTGCAACAGTGCATCGGTTTTTCCTAGCTCATAGCTGGTATAAAATATCAAAAAACCAGGCAAAAAACCTTTTGTGCAAATGTCAACCATAGATTTTAATAAATAGTTATAAAGGTGGCGACGTTTATATTTTTTCTTTATGGCTATCGATTTCGGCTGGAATTTCCATCATTAGGTCTTGCGGCATAAGACATAAAATGAAGGGTGTATAAACATGAAGTGTATGTTACGGTGGATAAGGTTGTATCGCTATAAAATGGGAGAAAACAAAGACGTAAATTAATATATAATTGTTATACCATAACCACACTTTATATATTTCACCTTAACATACACTTCATGTTTATGACGCAAGGCCTGGTGATGGCAATTCCAGCCGAACCTGGCTGTCACTACTTAAATGGGGTGGGCATGAATTACTTCTCAGAAAAATTGTTCACCCGCATATACAATCTTGTATTGAAAATCTATGTAAAGAATCCGAATATCACGTCAATTAATACATTGCGTGGAGTTATGGCTGCTGCTGCACCCATCCATAAGTTGCTACCAACAGAAGACACACTGAGGCAACCCTGTTTAAGGGAGTATTTCCAAACCAAAATATGGCTACAGACATCTGTACTTCGCCTCAAAAATTACCCCCCCCCCCCCAAATAATTCGGATGGTATGAATATAGACGAACTTTTGACCATTTTCATCACATTGTGCCTACCAATTTAACTGTTCTAAGGTCTTCTGGATGTAAAAAGGGTTATCCGTTATCCCCCTCCTCTTACTTCGTTGAACAATATATTTATATCCGTAGATTTTATGGAGTAAAATGTGTTCTTGTAAAAAGAATAAATTGTGTTGGATAGGCTTTTACAAATTCATGGCCAAGAAAACGTGCAATGACGGAATCATCACGATCAGAATAAAAATTTTTCCACTCGTAATTCTTTAAATGGGCCTTCCTAAGAATGAAATTACATTAGTGTTACCTGTTAGTTTAGCGTATTATTCTTTGATATTAGATACATATTTAGTATGATACAATTAAAAAAGTTATCTTAGGAGTTGTAATGTATATAAATTAAGGCGATATTCTGTAGCTACAATTTTTTTACGCATGTCTATGTACGATGTTTTTTTATTTATGGTTTGGTCTGTTTTTGAGTTTCACATTTATGGAATTATTTGTATCAACTATATTGGAAATAACTTTGACATCCGTGTCGAAAGCGTACCTATCGATATCGAATCGAATTGAGATTGTGCAATACTGTATTGTAATATTGTATTGGTACAAAATAAACAGTTTGATTCCAGCGTTTGTCTTGTTTGGTTGTGCATACGTTACAGTTGGCGACGAGTGATTTAAATCGGAATTACCCAGTACGTTAAATAAAAAAAAATGTCGATCGGTAAAATTCCAGAATTTGATTTAGAGAATAAAAAATGGAAGACGTATGTAGCAAGATTAGGTCAGTTTTTTATTGCTAACAAGATTGAGGATGAACGTAAAGTGCCGGTGTTGTTGTCAGTAGTGGGTGACAGAACCTACGAATTAATGATAAATTTGTGTGATCCTGAAAAACCTGAAGACAAGTCATTTGATCAGTTGGCAAAAATGGTTAAAAATCACGTAAATCCTACGCCGTCAGTAATAGCTGAGCGATATAAATTTCGACAGCGTAAACAAACGTTAATAATAATAATAATAATAATAATAACTTTTATTATGTTTAAGTAACCGAAAAAAGTTACATACAATCGTCAAAAGAAAAATTACACAAAAATCTAAACCGAGATCTAAACTAATACATAAATTTAAATTTTTTCGGCGAATTTGAAATTAAAATATTCATTTTGGGAATAGAACGCCTTTGACAACAAAAATTGTTTAATGTTGTTGCTAAAAACCTTTTCATTAAGCAACTTAATAGTATCGGGTAGATGATTATAAAATTTTATTGCAATATATTCTGCACCTTTTTTCGATATACTTAATCTTAAAAGGGGTAAACGATAATCCTCCTTGCTACGTGTATCGTGAGCATGAATCTGATGTTGTTGCCTATACTTAGCGAGATTTGCCTTAGCATACCTAACACAAGCAGGTAAAAATAAACAGACAAGGCAATGTAAGGATCTTTAAATCTATAAATGCCTGTCTGCAATCATCTCTATAGCCCAGACTTGAAATTACTCTTAGTGCCTTGCGCTGAAGTCTAAAAAGA